AAAAAAACCAAGAAACGTAGACTCTTGGTATTCATTACACATAAACTAGCGAGCCCCAGAATGAGAAACAAATTTTAATCATTATTATTGACGGATTAGTAAACTTTTTACACGCTTTGGAAAATCTCAGAAGTTCGCGGTAGTCACTTTTCGGTAAGGAACTAGGGGACTCGGTTATTGTATCGAGGGGGGGGTCGAAACGATCGCAAAGGCGGTATACTACGTATACGCGCCAAAAATAAAAACGTAAAAGTACCCGATTAAATGGAGCTCCTAAAGGATCAAGGATCTAAAAGAAGTCGGAGGCTCAGCCCAGGCCCAAGAATCAAAGGGCCCCCAAAGCTTTTAGATTCTTGGGCCTCCCAAAATCCGAAATACGAAAAGTGACAAAAGAAGAGAAAATTATTTAGGAATCATTGAGTGGACATGGGAAGGCAGGGGCCCTCCAGCAAACAAAAAGTAGTCAGGAACAGCCCAAGAGAAGTATGAAAAACCCCGAGCTTATAAGAAGAAAAATCAGAGAAAGAAGCCCCATCTCGGCAAGTAAAGGCCCAAAGTTTGAAACCACAGCTGAGCATCAAAGAGAGAGAGAGAAAAAATTCGGGCGGCCGTGGGCCCCCTAGGCGCCTGGGCCCCCCTGCATAGCAGGGTCTGCGGGGGCGCCCGTTACGCCACTGTGTGCACTCTGTTAGAAAGTAGATATATTTCCTCCAGCATTGCCTCGGCGTCCTGGTCATACCCTCTTTCTTAATTGGAAAACTAGTTAGCTGAATTTTTTGAAAACTTAATTGATTTTTTTTTCCTCTATTAGAAGAATATTCCTCGGAAATGACTAACCATATATTTGGCTAGGTTTTCTTTGAAAAAATTGAATGAGGACAGAGAGTTTGAATGAAGATACGTGGTTTCACACTTTAGCCATGGATATAGGTGTAGCTCTCCTCTGTCACAGACTCATTGCTAAACACGTACTTCAAAACTTGTTTAAAACCTCAAAGCCCACCTGGCGGCGGTTTGTTGAAATTCATAGACAAAGCTATGGAAAAAGAAGACAACAAGGACATGGAGGGATCCTATTGAAGCGGGTGATCGCGATGGACAAAGGAGGTTGGTAATAGACAAACTAACGGCAACCCATAGAGACCCTGTAGTTAATCCACCATTTCCCCTAGTCTATGAGAACCACCCATATCAACCAATAGAATCGCTCCTTACTCCCTATGTCTTCTTAATCTATCAATTTAAACATTTCGCTCGCTGGAGTTTCCATAAATTTTAGAGCCATTCTTAGGAACAAAGCAGCGTAGCTTTCTCTCCGGTTTTCTGCCGGGTTTGGTCACGAACATGTTTACCGCTTGAAAGAGGAGAAAAAAAAGTACAGTCTAAACTAAATAGAACATGAGGTAAAATTACACTGGAGTAGGCTGTATCGTGGTACATCATAATAGACTTGTAATCAAAAGGTTCTCCCAATAAATTCGTTTCTTCTCTGTCGACTGGCTTGAAGTGATCGCACCCTCCCTGAAAAAAAGGTGACAAACAAAGTTAGATAACTTTCACTTTCAACCTTGATAATGAACGCCTGCCTCCACTCGATTGTCCAAAGTGTGATTTTCTCGATTGAAGCCTTGAAAGGCCTCTACTTGAAAGGCCCACTGAGCGGCCGACCGGTCGGCACTCGGTGGGCCTTTCAAGTAGCTCTGCGGGAAAAAAGTAAATTTTTGAAAGTATCTGTAATTTTTGAACTCAGCGACCCTCAAGAATACCTAAAAATGTATATTGCGCGGTTTAGTCATAAAATCCGATTCATTAACACCCTAAGCCGGCTTTGGAACCATATTTTTGCGCGCGAAAATCGGTCGGCGCGCATCGAGCGGAAACTTTAATCGCTCACAACTCCGGAACCGTTCGGTTCCCCAGCTTATGAGACCACTCGTTGGATGCGGAAAAAGATGAACAATTAAAACAACTGGTTTTGGTACAAATAGAAAATTGAGATCTTTGTGTAACTCTCGTTTAAAATAAATTTTTCTGGTTCGAAAACTGAAAAAAAGCACATATGTTGTTTTGAAAATGTGATTTCCGGATTTTGACCTTTACAATCTTAAATTATGCAATATTTGACGATTTTTCGTCCAAACCGGACCTCGATATCTTTATTCGTTCGGGAGATATCGAGGTACACAGGTTTTTACTTCCACCCCCCCCCTAGCGCCCCCCAAATTTTTTGGGGGTCTGAAAATTTGGGAAAAGAAGGGCTCAAGTATGACTAATCGATAGACGAAGTTTGAAGGAATTCTAATTGGGGGCGAAAAAGTCGTTTTTGCATCAAGCTCTTTCCAGTTTTAGTCAGATATTTTATGTCCGACCTCTCTGATTGGCCGGCTATCATTTCCGCCCACTATTCGCGATTTTATCATATTACCGTCCACTTTTCGCGATTATCATTTCCGCCCACTTTTTTTATTTTTATTAACCTATGAGACTTGGCAGCGATGAGGCAAAAAAAAAAGAAACAAAGTCTTGCTGCACTCATTGGTTAAGGACTTAAAGCTAGGCCAATGATTACTCCTGCGGATCATCCTCTTTGTCCGAGCATAGTGTTTCGAGATTTACTGAGACGGTTGGAGAAGGAGGGTGTCTGATGTGGATAAATTCCTCTAGACATTGCCGAGGAGTTATACAAGCCGAAGGTATAGAGTGCATCTGTTAGGCTCAAGATCATTTGCACTACGTTTTGCAATTTGGAACTATGAATTCTAGCCCGGTTTAAAAACAATGCCATTAGTTTCCCTGTGCACATAAGTGTTTTTTTCAGATGAGCCAGAATTTATAGTTCCGAATTGCAAAATGCAGTCCATTTCTTTCAATTGCCGTTTCCGTTTATGAGACGTTTCATTATGATTAATAGATTTAACTTCGAAGTCTAAAATACTTGCATTAATTACGATATCCATAATCTCCCTATCAAAGCTTGTTCATCAAGACCCTCCCGAATGGCTATGTGGACTGCATTTTGCAATTTGGACCTATATAAATTCTGGCTCATCTGAAAAAACACTTATGTGCATAGGTGCACATACGTTGTTTTTAAACCGGGCCAGAAATTTAAATCTAGATTGTATATTAATTTAATCATTTTATCTTATTTGATTTTATTTAGTTTTAATTAAATATCAAGATAATTTTATTTAAAATATAAATCTAGGTTTCTTCATTTTTATATATTTTTTAATTAAAGATTATCAATCTTATTTAGGTATATTTAATATTTAAATTTATTTTACTTTAATACTTAACTTTTAAAGTTTTCTATTGTTCAATTTTGTAATTTAGGTTATCAAATAAGTTAATAATAAACAATTATTTTAATTTATAAATTTATAGGTCCAAATTGCAAAATGCAGTCCATGTTATCCCTATGTTCGCGGGTCCACTGCGTTGCTTACTGTCCGCTGTGTTGCCGCACTTGCCTTACATTAGGGTATTAATCGGGAAGAGTGGGCGGAAACGATTATCAGCAAAAACTGTGCGGAAATGAAAAGTGGGCGGAAATGATACCCAGCCCTCGAATTGACGCGATCCACTGTGCGTCGAGTCTTACCAAATCAAGGTTGGCCCATAAAACCTCGATATAGCGGTCTCGATCCGGTCGTCGATGCTCATCCTCCAATCCCAAGACATGCCCCAACTCATGCAGGACCGTTCTCTTCTCAAAAGCTCTACCGTAAATATTTAAAACTTGCATGCCGCCTTTTCTCCCGAGATGAGAAGAAGAGGCTCTGCAAAAGAAAAATGCCGATAATACGAGACTGTTAAATAAACGTGGTCGGGTTTTCGCAAAATAAATGTAGAAAAGTACACTGGAAAAAAATATTCTAGATTTTACCATACTCTGACACAGTGATACAATGGACCACTAGACAAGGTACGAATTTCAGCATTCTGATACAGGTTTCTTAACCAAAATTTCACGTAGAACACGATGCGCACAACAAAAACTACCAAAATCAACTCCTTACGAAGAAATTAAATGATTCTTGATGCGTGAATTCAAACCACCCGCTCATGAAAACTCAATGCTATACGTGATTCACATCGCGCGGTAAACGTCATCATGACAGTCTCTGCGATATAAAAATCTGGCAACCTCAATCTTGACGCTTTGGCTCAGTTATAGCAAATTGCTTATAGTTTGATCAACACATGGTGGGAAATGAACGTTTGCTTGATTGAGAGGCTCGCTGAAACTGTTGAGGTGCGCGATTTGACTTACGTAGAGCTTTGAGTTTCTTGTGAGCGGGCCTTTCAAATTCCTCATAACCAATGTGAAATAAAAACGTTAGTATCTTCTTTAGGAGTTGATTTCAGTAATTTTCGTCGCGCAAATCGTGTTCCGCGTGAAATTTTGGTTCGGAAACATGTATTAGAATGCTTAAATTCGTACCTTGTCTAGTGGTCCATTATGGTGAAGAACACCCGACTGTATGGTAGCAATTACCGCATTATGGTAGGAATTATCTGCGTTCTTATGAATACTACTATAATTCTAATTATTTTCGTTCAATAGTATCCATGTGTAAAAATCAAGTAGACTAATAGTAAATCACAATTTGGAAAAATGGTGCTACGTCCGCACCATTTCGCGGGGAAAACAAAGCCAAGAAGTTCCAAAAATTTTTGCCAAGAATTTTTGGAGTTTTTGGAAATCCCCGCACCTTGCAACCCATCGTGATTGGTGAAGTGAAAATTGTAGTGTTCTTTATCACATTGCTAGTTTATTTTACTATAATTTTACCTGACCTAACCATACTTTAGTAGAATGTAACCATACTTCAGTAGAATGCCACCGTACTTCAGAGAGGGGCCAAAATCAAGTGTTAGTGCAGTCAATTCCACCAGTCTTTTTTCCAGTCTTAGAGGGTGGCCCACCGGCGAGGAGGGGGTCCCAAAAACATATCAGCACCCCAAAAATTTTCCACCCAGACTGACACTGTATATGCAGCAGATCCAAGGTTTCATCCACCAAACCTGAGATATGCTCAACTCATACAATCGCACTTTTAACAAACTCTGTATTGGGTATATACTATTCACAGCACTAGCCACCCATCTTTCTGAGAAGCAAGCTTGAATTGCTGCACAAAAACAACGTCGTTAATAATGAAACATGTCCAATGTTTGATCGCCTTCTTCCCAGGTGGAAGTAGCTCTCTCCCTCCCCTCCTTCACCTCCCCTCCCCCCGCAGATTCGGTTTGCAGCTAATGCAGCCATCGAAAATCCTTAAATAATGGAGTGATACAACAATTCACGCTTCCGTGTGTTGTCCAGTATCATTCCCAATTGAAGGCGTTTTTTCTCTCTTTGAATCGGGCTTTCCTCCTGACCTAATCTAATCCCTTATTCCTCCCTCTCTTCACCTCTTTTGAGTTAAATTCCTATCTCAGTAATTTTTTAGGCGTCACACTTCTTGGCAAAATGAGGTTGCCTCCTCAGCATTATGTATTTTTTAGCACAGACACGTTATTCAGTGGTATACATAAAAATCCGAACACGATGTTATACGCATATCGACGGTATAAGGCCGCAACTACGTCTCTCGGTTTACGACGTCGTAGACTTCCTGTCACATTTAATTTCTCAAACGATAAAACCACTCAACGACCACTCTTAAAAACTGCAGTGGTTCTTCTTCTCAGTGCCAAGAAAATTCTCCGGAAACTTCAAGGAATGATGTCGATTTGTTCTCCTTTACAAAAATAAAATAGGAGCGGAGATTTTCAAACACCGCAAACGAGATGCGTGGTGGCGAACTTACACCGTCGATATATTTAGACGTCAAGCTTTGAGGTTTACACGAGTTCCTCTTCTTCTATCTTTGAATGGAACCTAATTCCTACTGGTCAAGGATTATCGTTTTGCCCGCGTAAAAGGGATTCATCCAATAAAAATTCGTCTTTATCGGAAAGGACTGTGGTCAAAAAGTAAACTACAAAACTCGTTCAATTATCTTCTGGGGATAAGAACTAGCTCTGTGCCCATCTCTTACGCGGTTGTACAGGCATCTCTTCACGCCAAGATTTAAATATGATGTCTACTTATGAATAAACCTAACATTTCTGCATTTTAAAACGTTACTAGAGTTCCTGGACTGGTCAGTCATTCTATAAAGGTATAGTTCTCAGTAAAATCAAACAAAGTCGATGAACTTACCTTTCTACATATTCGAACTTGATATACACGTAGTCTGGTTCCCCACTCCTCTCTTTAAATCGAACGCAGGTTTTTTGCATGATGTCACGCATAGCGTCTTGCAATACTAGATGTCTGTGATGAACAGAGGTCCCTTATAAGTATGTAAAACAAGAGAAGAACTGCTAATAATCACTGGTTTAAATATACATCTGCTATCTAAAGTTTTAAGACAAATAAACTTGTTCAAACCCGAAATTATGTGCTTTTTAATGCGGTTTGGTGTTTTTTTTTCCAGCGTTGATGGCTTGATGAGACGGTGAAAAGACGGGTTTGGGGCGCTAACATTATGTTGTTGCGCGCGATTTTATTCACGCGTATGAAAGAAATAAAATGCAATTAGGACCAAACAGCTTTTTCGATAGACAAGAATGGCGATTTAGTGTTGCAGGCATATTCTCTTCGAGGATTTTTCTCACCTTACGCCTGATAGTGTCACAGTAAAGCTATAATGTCTCGCGATCAAAACTAGTTATCAAAATAACAAGATCAGCAGCCTGATTGTTGAAATTTTTTGTTTATCGGGACCATAGAGAAAAAAAAGGAGGTGTTTGCATCTTGAGGATTTGTACCCACCTACGTCATCAATGTAAACAAGACGCTCGTTGAGGGTTATGTTGACGCTGTAAAAACGGACCATAATGTCCGATTTTTTTATTGTTTTTTTACTTAAATCAACTCTTTATTTAATTTCAAGCACTTTTTGTAGAATGACTTTTTCCCTTAAATTACACCATTTCCAAGAAAATCGACAGGATAAAAACGTCGCTGTACCCAACGACGTCATCAAAGCTATAGATACTCTATGAAAAATTCCAAGATGCCCGAAATGCAAACACCTCCTTTTTTTCTCTATGTATCGGGACGACTTAGATGACATAGGTTAAAAGGTGGAGCGTGATTGGTCGGCTATGTCTTAACGCTGCTTTGTCGTGCCTATGTCGGTTTGAACTCACGACAAGCTAACGGCACCTCTTAAGTTTCCGACAGTATGTCGTTCATTCCACCTGACAAAGGCACGACAAAGCAGCGATAAGACATAATCGACCAACCACACTCCGCCTTTTAACCTATGTCATCTATGTCGACCCAACAAACAAAACGTTTCAACAATCAGGCTGCAGGTGTTGTGATTGGCTTAGTCGATGATTTGAACTAATCACAGCACTTGATTTTAACATATTGATTGTGTGACAAGGGCTTAAGGATTTCCGTAATATCCGATTAGATCCGAGTGAATATATTCTTAACCTGTATAAAATTTCACAAAAATCACGTTGAGCACGTCAAAAAAGTCTGAAATCTACTCCTCAGCGAGTAATCCTCGTAGTTTATAACACGCTTTTTCAAGTTTCCCGCGTCTCCAGGCAGTTTTTCTTTATCACCGCCGACCGGGTTTATCCAGGCAGAGAAGTTAGAGAAACTGACCCGAGTAAGCAAAAAATTCCACTAACTTTTTCTACTGCACGATTACAATGGTTCTCAGACGAGAACAGGCTAGTACCTCGTAGACATAGGCAATCCTTATGTCTTATAGGTATTGATGTAAAAAATGCTTTTAATAGTTTAAGATGGGGGGATGTAATTGATAGTTTAGTTAAGAATCTCGCCCCTAGTTATATTGTTGCAATTATACAGAGTTATTTATCTGACAGATATCTTATTGTTAATGAAGAGCTAGTGAAATTATCATCAGGAGCTGCACAAGGCTCAGTAGTTGGTAGTTTATTCTGGAACTTAGTGTATGATGAAGTTGTTTGGATTAGAATCGACCCATCTAGGATAATTGCGTACGCCGATGACCTCCTTGTTATCCTTAAGAGTTACCCTGAGAGAATTTTGGAAGAAAGTAGTAGAATAACTAAGAGAATTGGCAAGAAATTAGAAGAGAAGGGACTTACCTTGGAGCCTGAGAAAACGGAGGCATTATTTATTGAAGTTCCAAGTACATTTAAGGATAGCCGAATTGTAGTTGATGGAATAGAGATTGAGACTGGGAAGTCACTTAGGCATTTAGGTTTCCATCTTAGTAAGGGTTTAAAAATGAATAATCATGTTAAAATTGTATGTACTAAAGCTAAAAAACTATCTAATATTTTACAGTCAATTGTTCCGAACTGCTTTGGACCTTCTTATGTGAAAAGACTTATGATATTTCAAGGCGTGTTATCTATTATTTTCTATGGCATTTCTGTTTGGGGGAGTTTTCCTGAAATGAAGCTAAAATGTAACTTGTATGAAATAACTAAAGCCATTCGTCCCATGAAGCGGGCTTTATGTATGGCCTATAGAACTGCGTCTACGAATTGTCTAGATATACTATCTGGTATCCCTCCAACGGACCTGTTATTAGAGGAGAAATATAGGAGGTCGAGAAAAGAGGAAGATTTTGTGGAGATCAACAACGATATTGTCGATAGATGGTGTATCCGCTGGAGGGATAGCCCCACTGATGTTTGGTGCAAGCGCCTCATCCCGGATTTAGAGGTATGGCTTGATAGGGAATATGGTTATCCTGACTTTTACATGACGCAGTTCTTTACTGGTCATGGGGCGTTTGGGTCATATTTATCGAGATTTAAGATTATTGATAGTGATATGTGTAAATTTTGTACGGTGACCCGGGACACGCCGGAACATACCTTCTTTGAGTGCTCAAGATTCACAACCGATAGAATGAGAATTGAAGCTGAACTGAACATTAATTTAAGACCAGACAATATTGTGAAAGAGATGATAAGTAGTAAGATTAAGTGGAAGATAGTGCATAATTACATTAAGAAACTTTTAACTGTTAAAAGTAACGTATATAACAATAATAGAAGACATGATAGAACGATAGTAGAAGCCAACCAACTCCCGGCCGATGATATACCTTCGGGTAATTCCGGCGTGTCTCGGACCACAGGTACATAAATATTTAAGGAATCTGTAACTAACAGCAAAAAAAAATCAAATCTTTTTCAATTACTTTTATTATCAAAATGTTTAATTAATGTTTAATCTAATCTTAATTTTACTCATTTAATTAAACATGTTAACTATGTATTAACTATGTACAATACTGAGATACAATAAAAAAAAAAAAAAAAAAAATGGTTCTCAGACGTTTTTGTCATGGGAACGGAGTTCCCCATGATATTAGAATCGTTCCGTTGCTTTCGCTAAGGGATTCCCTATACCTCTGCGACCTTGAGCGTTTCGCCCAGTCTTCGATATTTGGTTGATTCTCCGATGTATCAAAAACCGTTGTATTTTTTAGCCAATCATGTCTCTACGTCAAGTTGTGTTGATTGCTAAAATTCGCTTTCAGCGAGTTTTTTTCCACCTTGAGATGTCGTGTCTGACTGGTAAATCTGCGCAGAACCACAAAGTTCCGTTTATGGGCAAATTCTTTTTTTTCGGGAGGTTCTGATTGGTTATTTTTCGCCATCAGTTTTCTGTTCGTTGGTGCAAAAGATCGCCTACCTCGGTGTTCTTGAGAAGCCGCCATTATCCCACCTCAAATTTGAAAAATAGAAGTAAAGAAATAATAACCATCGTACAAGGTGGAAAATTGTTCTGGAGGACTCGTTACGGATAAAGAAGTCAAAATCAGAGCTCGATTGATTGATTTAATTCATGGATACGCAAATGGCAAATATTGCCTTAGCTCAACTGCTGCGATCGGAATGCGTGCTGGAATGAACCTCAAGACGCATTAAAACAGTGCGAACCATGGCTCCTACAGCAATGCGCTTCATATTCCAAAAGCAGTCAACGTCTCTTGTGATAAGTCCCGCCCATTGCCCGAGTCTTTTAAATGCTATTTTTACTCCCGCTCACGTGGATCCGTCATAGCCTAGTTGACTAAACCGCCTCGTATTTGTGATTAGATGCGGGCACCCGGCGATCGTGGGTTCGATACCCGACGATGGGAACTACGTCTTAATGGTTGTATTGAATGTTTTAGACTAATCATCAAATAATAATTAATACTAGATGATAAATGTACGAACATTTTCTCGTGAGTTAATATGTTAAACAAAAATACTGGAATATACCTCCTTCATATAATCAGCCACATGTTCCCCAAAATTAATGACGTTATTTTCTTTTTTCAATAAAGTTAATTTGCATTCAACGTTCGTAAGTTAAGCAAAAAGTACCTATTGATACAAATTAGACATGAAAATAGTATGTCTAACATTTCAGTTGTTTTTTTTTTCTTATTTATTTTTTGTTTTTTTGTTTTTTCAATAAAACAAATTGACTGGGACTAGAATCATCGTATCTCTGAAGACAAAAGCGAAGTTTTTTGATACAGAAATACTAATATATTCATCCTTAATATAATCAGGGAGATGTTGACCCAAATATTGATGTATATTTTCTCTGTTCGCCCAAATTAATGATGGTATTTTCTTTTTTCAATAAAATTAATTTACATTCCACGTTCTTTAAGCAATATTTTCTCCAAAATTCAGCAAAAAATAACAATTTATACCTACGCAAAAAGTAAATAAATAAATAAAGCAATGACATGAAAGTAGTATAGGTAGTACACATCTAACATTTCGGTTACATCTATTTGAATGAAAAAAATGGCAACTTAGGAAGCACATAGGTCACTTATCGACGGTGAAACTATCAAACCACGTATCTCGGTTTGCGACGTCGCAGACTTTCTGTCATACTTTATTTTTTAAATGAAAAGCTACTTAACGTCCAGTCTTGAAAATTTCCGTGATTTTTCCTCTTCGTGCGGAGAAAATTCTGTGAAAAATTCAAGGAATGATATTGATTTGGTCTACTTCAAAAAAATAAAATGTGAGCGGAGATTTTTAAACACCGCAAACGAGATACGTGGTTTGGTAGTTTCACTGTCGTTATGATGCGTATTCGGGCATATGCGTAGAGTAAAAATATCATACTTTACGCCGAAAAAACGAAACTGAAAGTTAAATGCGTTAACTTCCAAAAACCATACATAATCCAACGAAAATAAATAATTGGTAAATAACAGCTTTCTTGTATGCAAAGAAAAAAAATTAAAAATGTTAAAAAAGAGATGTCGACACAAAATTACATAGCCCCTTCAATTCTGAAGATACTACAAACGAACTGTACCTTAAAATTTTCATATCCCAGAAGCAAAAGTTCCCATGACGAATATTGCTATCGCTAGCGATTGCAAAAACCAACTTGTTAATTTTCCTTTCTTTACTTTACAAAAACAAAAAGTTTGAATCACTTCGAATCTCACGATAGGAAAGTTTATAACAGTTCGCGAGATTGTTTGTTAATTTAGATTAGGTCTCCCTCCCGGCAAACATAACTGCTGACCACCAAGAAAAAATTCTCGCATATGCAGTAACTTTAAAGGCGAGCGTGTTACAAACCACGCAGATTGCTCGCGATAAATAGCGGATTTCAGACTTTTGTCATGTGCCTATCGTAATTTTCGAGCAAATTTACCTTATTAAAGTGTATTTACTTGGCTACACCTATCTCTTGTCTGCAATAGACTTATTAGTCTGCACGCTTTATAGTACACTAATCTACTGTGCTAACGAGAAACGCCGTATGAACTTCCAGGCATTGCCAAATTACCTTTGATACAACACGAATTTCCTGGTAAACTGATGAATATTTTCATTCCAAATTTTCAGATAATTTTGCTCGCAATTTCACCTAATGTTCCTGAAAATTTCAAGGAAAAATATTCATAACTTTCCTCGAAAATGAACATTTTATCGAAAGAAATTTGGCAACTCTCAAATGTTCATACGGCGTTCTTCCTTAGAACGGCAGTTACAGCCTCCGTACCAACTCTCCTACACACTTACACACCCTCATCCCCCTCCCACCCTCACCCACCCACACTTTCACAAAAAAACCATTAAACGTTTACTTACACATGAAATCCTCTATTTGGAAAGGGACAACTGCTCCTCCCCACAATTGCTCCTTATTATTCAGCATGTATTTCTTCCGCCGCAACTTGGGAATAGATAAAAAAGGAAAAATTCCAATTCGAGAATAATCAGATCAATTTAATACTCTTCGTTTTTCAGAGAAATCTTGCTATTTACCTATTTACGCCAACTACGTAGGCCTTTGAAGGCCGCTTTCTACTCTTCTTGCTCCCCTTCCTCACCCTGTCCATCGAGTATCTTAAAACTTATTTTATTAGAATTTTCCCACTTACAGACTTTGAACTCCAGCACATCGACCGTCTCATTCCCCCTCCTCACTCCGTCCATTAAGCATCTTAAAAATGATTTTATTAGAAAAAAGAGGATATCTTTATACTGATTTTCGCCCTCAATTTTGCCGAATAGGTAGAAAACCCAGCAAAGATCAAAAATGATTTATCCATTTGAAAAACACGTAATAATATCGTCATCTTCCAGCCAAAGTAGCACAAGCGTTTTGCTTTGTTTAACAATTTTACAGAGAAATTGTTGGTTGAATCCGGTTAAAAATTTCATTGAATTTTATCGGCAGCACAAAGGAAACTCAGTTAAATTTTCGGACAGCTTTGTTGAACACTCTCTCTGTACCTAAAGGAATAAAATGGCGGCGGAAATTTTCAACTGTCGAATGGCGCTTGTGATACTTTGACCAGAAGGTGACGACATGTCTCGCGATTAACTTTGACAGAAATTAAATTTTCCTGCTCTTCGGATTTAGAAATCAATTGTCTTCTTTGCTAAGAAATTCAAACTACTATCCTCCTCTCTTTTAAGGCAAGTCTCTTTAAAGGCTCATCTTTATAGGTAAGGGCATACCACTGCAATAATTATCATTACCGTTGGATCCGCACGCACCGTCGCAAACTCGTCTTCAACTTGTAGCACTTCACCGTTTGACATAATGTTAGGGCGCCCTCCGACCTCAGCCGCAATGGCCAAGAGGACCATCCCCATGAAAACCAACATCGAACTACGGATCAACGAATAAGGCAGTGGACTGACGCGACTGTGCTGAAGTATAGACGGAATTATCTAATGAGCAAAGTAGTGCGCAATTCAAAGGCAAATTGTGAGCCTAGAGTGCTTCGGGGATTTTTTCTTCTTTTCTTGCGATGCCTTGACGCAAAGGTACATTTTTTGCGCCCGCAATTTCGCATGTCTCGCATTATCTTTTGATGAGGTCCCTACCGTTGAGATGGACTTGAAAGGAAACTATGTGATGAAGGCCTGTGTTACAAATATTATAATTTTTAGCAGGAGCTCATGGCTGGTTCTTGCGATGTATATGTACATACATTCAAGTCGCTTTTACAGTGCGCACGGGCACTCTGCGACACCTAATCGCCATTCTTGTCTATGGATCCAGAGGTCATTTGGTAAATGGCACCTTGTAATTTTATCTTGAATGCCATCTATCCACGGTTTTGCTGGACGTCCCCTACGTCTCCTCCCAGGAGGAACCCAATCTAGTAGCTTCTCAGGCAATCTGCCATCCGCCATTCGTCGAACATGACCATACCAGACAGGCAGTTTGGTCATGATTTCATGCACGATGTTCTGCTCGGCGTTCATCATCTCACGCACTCTTTCGTTCCTTACGTGATCCTTCCTCGAGATTTCGGCTGATCTTCGCCAGAAATCCATCTTCTTGGCCTCCATCGTCTCCGCAGGTTCTTGCGATATCGTAGTGCAAATCTTACATGTTTAAAAAAAACCTAACGGTAGGAATGTAGATTTACAATGTTGCATCACAAAACGCAGCCATAAATTTAAACCAAGATTTTCGTCAAATGCTAGTTCATCAGAATTTCTTATTTGAATCACGCTTTTGAGAATTTTGCGGAATCTCAATTTTTCCAGGTAAATTCTGAAAGTGAAGAGAATAATTATTTTTTATTACTATTTGAGAGACCGGTTTCATTGAAATATTAAAAGAGACGCGAGACTTTAACAGAGCACGAATTGAAGATAACTACATGAACATTGCTTTGACCGGAAGAATTTTTTATTCCCTTCTCATGTTTATGTAAAATTTCGTACAGTCGTCGTGTCCCGTTATAGCGTTTCTCGAAATATGTTTTTCGGTGATTTTTCGTAATTCGAATTTCCATATCCCGGTCAACAACCCCCGGACTGGTTATAACGAGAGATGACTGTGCTTTAATTTCGTCCGTGTGAAATGACCTGTTAGTATTTTTCAGTAGATGAGATACATTTTTACTTCCGTCATAAAAGACTCATTATGTGGCATCATCCTTCAAGCTTTTGGTCGAACATTAAACGGACCGACTTCTTTAGAAACGCTACTAGTAGCATTTAAGCCTACGCAAAATTCAATCTTGAACAAATTCTTAGTCATATTCACGCTCTGAACATGTATCCTCCACTTTGAATTTTTGACATATGAAAAAATTTACAACTAGTTCAATTCAAAACTACTCTCGACTACTTTTTTTTTCTTCTCTCTCTCTCCTAAAAAATACGACCGAGTGCTTTTTTGTTAAACTCGGTCTGAACGTGATTTGATGGACGCCACATTTTGTGTCAGAACGACGTGCGATTTATCGCATCGATTAGATACATGTTTTCATCTACTTGTCATTTTTCTCGAATTTTGAGGTCGCAGTTCTGTTGCCATGGGACTAAAGAATTCACGTACCTTTGACAAACAAATCCAACTTGATAAAGGCAGGTTTTTTTAGAGGAAAATTATCGCATTCGATACTGATATCGAAACTGCACTCGAATGCGAGATTTTTGCTTTAAAAAAACCCTGCCTTTACTACGATGAATTTGTTTGTCAGAATCGTTGCGTGCTTTAGCACTTTGTTAATGAAATGCTAAGGCACTCAGAGATGAAGCAAAAAAGGCTTTCTTTTTTGGCGAGGCCTTTAACACGTTACCTTGAAAAGGTACGAAATAAATTCTTTCTCTTTCACAAGCTGGTATGAGGAACGACTCCTTAAATTAGGCCTCAATTCATCATTCCCTCTGACGCAAATTATTTAAAATCTAAAATTTTCCGTTCTAGAAGTCTAATTCGGAAGACTGGAAAGGCAGACGAAATCCCTCGACACTCAAACGACCCATTTCGTTCCTACACCATGTGAGAAAAAAATGTCAGAAACGGTAAGTTTTGCTGAAAAATAACAATACTACAAAATGTAAGAGATGGGTGAAATAACACTAATGGGATGATACCCATAGATTAAGGCGCCATAAGAATAAACCACTAAAAAAGTGGCCCGAAGTTTCAGGCACAGAGAGGTAGAATAATGCTGAGTCCACACTATTCTATGGGGAAATTATAAGGAGCCGTCATAAACGTCACATAAGTGGGAAGGGGGGTGTCTGACATTGGATGACGGTAGGCAACAGGGAAGGAGGGGGGGGGTCAAGCCAAGGATGACGTAAGCTTTCCTGAAGGCAAAAGACTGAAAATACTGGCTTGAAATTTGGGATGGAATTTTTTTTTAAATTTTTCGATAAATAATTCCTATTCTCAAAGCAATAAAGTTTGCGTCATTTAATTTTTAAGCTAGTGATGTATCATGACCTTAATTATTTTTCCTTTTTCTCAAATCTCAATAAAATGAGTTATTCATGCTCTTAACGCTGCCAACTATATCCACTGATTTTTATCGATTTTCTGCGTTTTTCCCTAAAATGAGGGAGGGTATACACTATGGATGATGTATTTTTAAGGGAGGTCTAGCAGTGGATGACGGTTGGATGCGGTGAGGGAGGGAGGAGTCGAAAAAATGAAAAAAATTGGTGAAGTAATTTATGGACCGAAAAACATAACCCCTGACGTAACCTAAACCTAAGGCCGGAAAAATCCAAAAATTTCAATCATAGTAAAATGTATATGTAGTAGTCGTCCAAATTGTAAGAGGCGCTGTTTCAGATAAGGAAAGGAAACGAGGAGATATTATCTAAAAGTTGTAGGATTTTGTCGTAGGGGCAAACGCATAAAGCGTGATAAGAGAGCGCCGAAAAAGTATTTTTAGGGCGTAATATATTTTAGAAAATTAAAGCTGATGGGGATTGAAGTGAGGTGCCTTTTTCGATCAACCCTGTAGGCAAATATTTTAAAGACGAGCGCATAGGAAGCGTCAGATTATCCTTATGAAGTCGCCAAACTTTCAGAGAGGAGGTATATTTTTAAAGAGCATAACTCAATAAACCGAAGGGAGACTTAAAGAAGAGAAATATAATATACATTAAAGTGAAATGTGAATTTCAGACTTTTTCGATGACGTTCTGATGATTACCTAGTTCATTATTTCACCCTGCGCAGCGATGATCTTTTTTGTTCTGGCAAAAGCCTACGACCGCAGAATTTATAAAGAGCTTTATAGTTATTTTACTAATTATTTTATCTCATTCCTGATTGACATCCGTATTTTTGGCCTCCACTGTATTAAGACACCTTATTGGCAGTATAGAGCAGCATTGCGCATTCACTGCTATCGTCGTCGCGCCTTCGATTTTGCAGACGCAACAGGAACATCCACCAGGCACGAATAGTTGTGTCTCTGCGCCGTCGTAACGCGTGCCCTTTCATTTGCTCTATTTTCATTTTGTGTTGGTTCCGTTTGTCTTTTTTTAGAGGTGCTTCGAAGGCTGCGTGACCAACACAATCGAAGGTAGGAAATAAAAATTTGGGCCTCGTTCTTTGACTTTTCTCCCAAATCTGAGTGACACCTCACCCGCAGCGTGAAGCGGAGAGCTGCGACCTCATGCCTTAAGCCATCGCGCCTCAAAGATATGCAACATAGACATCCATCAAGCAAAAATAAATGTATCTCTATCCTAATTAATAATCATTCAAGTGAAAACTAGTTCAGACATCCCTGAGGCAACTTATAGGTCGCACGTCTTAAAAATGAAATTTTGGCGAGAGCTGTGTCGTGTCAGAGGACTTCATTTGACGACCAACCCTAAAAGTTCCAAGCCGGATCAAATATACCCGACAGCTAATTAAAGGGGAGTCACACAAATCGGATGAGGGGGATCACAAAGCGCCAGTATGTTAATACGAAGGTGAAAATGTCAAATTAGTATTCCTCACCTTCAAAAACATAGAAGTATCACAGAAAATATTCCAAAAACGATCAAAATCGATGTTATATTACCTACGGATCAATTTGTTCCGACTTGAGACTTTGTGACACAAAAAGTCTTCGGCCCGAAAATTTTTCCGTACGTTTAACGAAGGAATGGTCCGGGTCCTTAAACTTCTTCAACCGTCATACGTAAAAACGCCGTATAACTATTCGAATGTTCCCAAATTTTTTCTTTGAAAATATTTATTTTTTTAAGAAAGTTGTGAATATTTTCCCTTGAAATTTTCCGACTTTTTACATCAAATTACGAACGTAATGCTCTGAAAAATCGAGGAAGAAATATTCGCAAATTTTTCTTCTAATTCGTCATTCGTCAAAGGAAATTTGGCAGCCTCTGATGGCTCTTGCGGCGTTCTTACTTAGCCGGGCAGCCATGTGCTCCATTTCTATTTCACAATTTCTATATTGTCTTTGTTCCCGTTAGTTGCTTGCAATGGTGCGCTAAGGGGCAATTTATTGAACAAAGCAGCCGAAGAGAGGAGACGTATTCGGATCTCGTATTCTAACGATTTTCCCGAATCCAAGTGATGTGACACCTCATTGGCAGCATATAAAATGGAGCAGTGGAGCACTGCTGCACTGCAAGTCTGCAAGTTCGCGCTTTGTACCATCGCGCCTTCAATTTTGCAGATACAACACGGAAAGTGAATCAAGCACGATTAGTTGTCTCTCTGCGCTGTTATTATTGTGCGTTGAGGTTTCTCTTACTTTTGAAATTTAAGAGAAGTTAAAGTTTAATTTGATCAAAATACGCTATAATGTGTCAAAATCAATAATCATTTGAGAAAAAAAAAGCGTTTAAGGTCTCTCAAACACCTTTAAAGGCGCACGTTTAAAAATTGTTATTTTGGCGAGGGTTTTATAATTTCACGGATTTTTTTATGACTATAAACCCCTAAAAATCCTAAGACGGGTCAGAGCCCGACTATCTTTTTTCGCGGAGTTACATGTGATTGATTAAGGGAGGGTGGTAAAAAAGTGCCAGTTTTTTCTGAAAAGATGGAGATGTCAAACCAAGTATTTCTCACCTTCAAAAACTATCAATATATTGCAATCAACGTACTAATATATGCATTTGAATCAATGCATCAATGTATTTTGTTTTGTTATAAGCAATATATTGCAAATCAACGTCTTTTTAATTTTAATTTTAATTATAATATTAAGAAAAAGTTTTCGGACTTTGTAATTTTGTTAAGAGAGATAATTTTCAGATGATTAGCTTCAAACATTGACTGATTTTTTCTACAAAATCTGATTTAGTTGCTTCTTATATTATTCGATCTTTTGAATCTCGACTGCGCTACACAAGAGCGTTGCTTTTTCTCCGCTCTAATTTCTTTGGTGGAGAGAGGATTTTGACCACGATGTTGATGTTGATGTGGATATACGGGTTTCATCCGGCATATACTGAAGGTAGTCTGGTTTCCGCACGCTCAATATCATAAAATGATCGCGCCGAGCATTTGTTTTGCTCTGATTTATATCAAGTTAAATGGAAACGGGACAGGGTCACATGAGGATTGAATCGTAAAAAAAAAAAAAAAAAAAAAAAAAAAAAAAAAAAAAAAGACAGGTTTGCAGTTTTAAGCCTCCATAGATATCAACGTCTTTATACATTTAAAAATAATGATGGTAGTAAAAAAACGCTCTTGACTTTGAAGTTATGTTTGCTGAGAAATTTAGCAGACAATCAGGTGGCAACATACTCTTGACTGATTTTTTCTCCAAAATTTGATTTGGTTGCTTCTTATATTGTTCTGTCTTTTAAATCTTGACCGTGCTATGCAAGAGCGTTGCACTGAAAAAAAATTCTCGGCGTTTTTACCAAGGTCCGACTACCAGACTGGTAAGTTTACCTAAAAACCGGTATTTTTACTGTTTTTTTCAGGTAAGAACACCACTTTTATTGTTAATCGATTCCCGGTAACTTTGCACATTTTATGTCGGTAGTTCTACCACAGTCGATAAAAAATGTAGGCATTTTTACCAAGGTCCAGTAATATTACCAGGAAGTTCAATAATTTTACCGAGATTTCTCGGTAAAATTACCAAGTCCATAAATGGTAATTTTACCAAGAAAAAACTGGGATCAAATAGAACCCTGAATTCTCGGTAATTTTATCATTTTCTCAGTAAATACACCGAGATTTTTTTTTCAGTATGCTTTCGCCCCTCTCTAAGCCCTTTGGCGGAAGGAGGATTTTACAGGACTCTGAACATCAAACGAAGGAAGCGCTTCTCTTAATAATGTCCTTGGTGAACTATAAGGAGAAGACAGATACATTTTCGAGGGCATCCTTTGAGGGGATTTCGAAGGCTTCCTGGAGGGCCATTTCCATTTGGTCCAGAGACAAGTCTTCAACCAACTGGTTTTCTTCTGGGAAATGCTTCGGTTCTGAGTCGTGTCTGATTTCTTTGAATCCGTCCGGTTCAGGTCCTGGTCCGCACACGGCTTGTATCGAACTTCGAAATCGTCAATTTTCACCCAATGCTCGCCGACTCCTTCCTCCAAAATTGAGGCAAAATCCAGCTGAAATTTACAAACCAATGTTTAAGTGGACATATTTCTACCAAACAGAACTATGTACAGGTATAAAAGATGGGATGCGCTAGTTAGGGTGGGGATTAGAAAACGCCAGTGACGTCAGATGCGACGATGAAGCCATGAAACTGCGCTCCAAGCCATTTTTTCATGAGCCCTGCCCACGTCGCTCCACGCACATGCCCATGTCTCATGAGTCCCGCATACATTTGGCGCATAGTAACGTTCGCTGAATGGGTCAGTTGCGCTGGTCACAGAATCAAGTTTTGATGCCTGATTCTTGTAGATCAGCTAAAAATATTAAGATCCGTACATACAGCAACTCTCTACGTTAAATATTAGCCGGGGTATCGCTCTTTGAAAAGTCGGGGTTTTGACGTCATCCACCGCGGTAATGGTACCCTTGGTTTCTTCCACCTTGCTTCCATCCGAGCTCTCGTTGAACAACCAGTGTAAATTTGAGTTGTACTGAATGATGAAAGCAAGGTGGTTGAAAATAAGGGTGTCACTACCGCGGTGCATGGATGACGTCAAAAACTCGACTTTTCAAAGGGCGATATCTTGGCTAATATTGGACGTGGGAAGTTGCTAGGTAGTGAGGTCGTATTGTTTTCAGCTAATCTACAAGAATCAATCATCAAAAAGCTATTCTGAAACCAACTCAACTGACCCATTGGACCAACTGTCAAAGTCCTCGGAAAAAAGTATTCATTCTCAAGAAAATTCATGAATATTCTCCCCCTCAATCGAAGGACATGTTGCGGATTGAATTGTGAGGAGAATGAGCAATCAGAAAATTATTGAAAGAAAAGCAAATGTCACATGTTTTCATTCGAAAATCATACGTTGAAAACGATTTAAAAGACGGAAAGTTTGGAAACCAAATCCTGAACGAAATGGCAAAAACGGTTTCAAACAGATCAAGGTGGATGTTAGATTGAACAAATGACGTCATTGTTCGTCATTCAACCAATTTTAATTGTATACACTTATTTCGTGTTTAAATGTTAATTTTCAGACTCCCCGTTGTTTGATCAGTTTAATCAAAGTAATTTTGAGGAGGCAACATACTACGAAGCGATTTAACTCATACCTTGTCTGGTAGCTCATTGTGCGAAACATGCCAAGGAAAATAGACGTACATTTCATGAAATAATTAAATATATTGAAATAATGAAATAATTGAAATAGCTCTATGACCAGTTAATAACGCACTGCTTACAATGCCGAAAGAAAAACGTATCCAAGGTGCCTTCAATTTTGCGTATATGGAATATAGAACATCCTTTCAGCTCAAATAGTTGCAGTAAAGCGTTGAAATTAGCAAATACAAACCGTTTTTAATTATTCGTACCCGCAAAATAAACATTTCACAGAAAGAACGACGGTGCTACTAATTAGCTTTAAAAGCAACTGCCAATTTAAAAAGAATTAAAAAGGCTGTAAAAGGTAAGGTCATAATGGAGGAACTCTCAAAAATAGGTAGGAGGGCGCGAAACGAGGCTCAAGGAGGCGACTCTTGCAACATTAACGGAATTTTTTTTCATATTCAAATTCCCCCTGAGTAATCCAGATTTCTATGAATTTTCTTCCCACATTTTCAAAAAAAATGTCAGATAGTTTCAAGAAGACATTTTGCCATTTTGGTTGTTTACTTCTCGACAAAAATGACAGTAAAATGAGAAAACTGGACATGGTTGGCGCTTCGACACGTTGCAATCGAACTACGCAGTTTTTTACTACAGCCATCGATATATAGTAGGTTAATGAGCGACGTGCGACCATAGAGATTCGACCCTTCCCACATTAGAGATTCAAATGGTGATCTTACCAAAAATGGATTTAAATCGTTCACAGGGATTGATACTGGAGTCCATTTTGCAGCTGTTGATTTCTTAGGCATTTGACGACGAAGGACACCAACGGACCAAATGACAGACGCCGATTTTACTCTGTAACCGAGAAATGTGGAATCGAATGGCAACTCCAGCTCCACCTTCTGTAACTAAAGCAACAAACGATTTAGAACAAGATATAAACATTGATAATTAAACATAAAAATTAAATGATGTTAATTTCGGTGCGGCCTGCGCGTAACGTGTGGTAGCGCCTACAAGACTGCATAAATACTTCACGCATTGCGCATACAGACCGCAGTGTGAGAGCAATGCGTGAAGTATCTCCGTGGTGCACGCGCAATGCGAGAAGTATCTATGCAGTCTGGTAGGCGCTAACACGCGTTCTGTGCTGGCGGCACACTGCATGGGTGTGTTTGGATCAATTATTCAAACTCGCGGAGTTAGCGTTTTTCAACTCATGATTTTGAAATGTTTGTGCGATTGATATGGATTATCACCGTACAAGATGAAAAAATATTTAGGCGTATAAAATCCAACTAATTTCCTATGTTTTCTCGCGTTTTCATTAACTCACAAGGAAAAGATCCATGTGACTATTTGAGATGACTTTCATGGTTAGAGATAAAATAATATGGAGAGGAGACGCGGCGGAGATGAGTGACCAAAATTGCATTTCTTAACGGAGAAATCGCGATATGTGGAAATTCAGTCTAGAATTCTCTATGATTTTTTGGCGATAAAATCGCTAGTATCCTCAGCATCTGAGAAATTATCCTCGATCTTGTCGCAATCTCATTTCTATGAAATGGAAATACCGTCTCAATTAATCAAGATTTTTTGCTCGGTAATATTGCGCTAATTCGCCGTACATAAAATCGCTATTTTAATGTTAATTTATGCAATGAAATTGCAATTTATTGCAATTTTTAATCCGAGTATTGCAATAAATCGACAACAATAGAATCACGTCACGTTTTCCGATCAAATCGCAACTTTTTACGATCCTGGATATTGATGGCGGAACTACCAGACCACGTGTCTGATTTGCAACGTTGCAGACTTCCTGTCAGGCTTTATTTTTTAGATGGAAAACTGCTATTACGTTATTCTTAAAACCTCCTTAATTTTTCCTCTCTGTGTACTGAAAAATCTGTGGAAACTTTAATGAATGATATTGCTTTGTTCTCCTTCATAGAAATAAAACTACAGCGGATAGTTTTAAACACCGCAAACGAGATACGCAGTCTGTTACAGTTGCGTGGCGGGCTTTGCGATATATCGATTGTTATGCCATTTAAACATATGGAAAAGGATCGATTAACAGGGTGTTCGCGGCGAACACCTTAATAATCGATTCTTTACCGTGGGTTTAAATGGCATAACAATCGATATATCGCAAAGTACGCCACGCCACTGGTCTGTTAGTTATACCATCGATAAGCTACACATGCCATCTCTTCATGGGACGGCCCCGTCGTAAATAATGGCTAATCAGGTAATTATTTGGATATCCAAAAATAATCTCCGGAAAGTCAAAAAGTTTTCTTTCCTATCCATACGCAATAGGTGCAAACATAATTTATCTGCTAACCTTGAGCGTGTGGCGTCCCTTCCCGCCAGTATTGAACGAGTACTTGAATTTGACACATCCCTCTTGGCCGCGGATGCTGTGGTGAGGGCTTGTTCCGTAGAAACCGACGCTCCAAATATTTTCCTCCGTCATCAGTTTTTCGACAGGCTTTACAGACCAAATCAGGTATCCTCCCTCAGGCTCTAGAATACAGAGAGCGAATCAAGAGTTCTTGAAAAATGCTAAGCACAACGGAGGCGTGGAGTGCTTTGCGATGTATCGATTTATCTGACATTTAAACTTACAGGGAAGGATCGATAAACAGTGTTTCCACAAAAAACCTCTTTATAATCGATTTTTTGCCATAGTTTCAATTTGAGGAAATATCGATCGATCATCGACGCACCGCCGCGGAAGCACAAGATACATAATTGGTGCGCATCTCGCAAGAAGGAACCAAGAGCATTTCAACATTGCTAGGGTAGTGCAGCTTACAATCTTTGGAATACAATTACTGAAATCATGCAAAAACTTGACTTTACAGCGGTAATTTCCGTCTTGAATTCAAAGTTTATTGGGAGTAAAGAGATTATTTGAAAGAATAGTATTCCTTGATCCAAAAGAAAATCCTCTTGAAGGTACTTCCCATCACACATTTAACAACAGAAGCGCCATGAGAGCGACTTATTAGTAGTACAATAATGTATTTTAGACTTTTCTTTTCTTTTCACAAAATTAAAAAAAAAACCTTCTAAGTGCAAAACTTTGAGAGAAACACATCGGAAAGCATATTTTTTTTGGCTAACGGGAGGAGGGGAAGGGGTGGGCAAGGTTGCCCCTCCCTCTCAAATTCAAGAATACTTACAGGGGTAATAATGTTTCTTCAATGTAACTTCCTCAAAATCTCAAAAAATATATAAAAGTGTGTTTATAATGAGAGGCTCCTAGATTAGGTTCTGGTAAACTAATATATTTCGGTTCACCGAACCAAAAGTGGTTCAAACCCCTCTTCTCAACTACCATTTCGTGTAACCAAGATTGGTTTCAGCGAGCAGATTTATGTCTTGAACTTCTGACCATGAATCTCCATTGTCACACATGAGATCGAGTCAATAGGAGAGGTCGGAAAAAATTTGGAAACTTTAAGAACTTGTAACTCCGTTTATGAAATGAGGGAGTGTCAACTCCCTGATGACCTGTGGGAAGACCGAGTTTTGTGGCGATTAGGCGGCGCACAGTGCCAAAAAGCGCTATTAAAGTGACTCATGTATGTAACTCCGTTTATACAAAATTTTGAGGTTCTATTGGTTTTCTCGTATGAAATTTTCTTCTTTATTGAACCCTTAAAATTTAAAATGTGACGAAATAAATATCAAAATTTGCAGTTTTAGTCAAAAATGTTATGTCCGACCTCTCGAATTGACTGAATCCACTGTGCGTTGAGTCTTACCAAATCAAGGTTGGCCCATAAAACCTTGATATAGCGGTCTCGATCCGGTCGTCGATGCAAGGTTGGCCCATAAAACCTTAATATGGGGATCTGAAAATTTGGGAAAAGAAGAACTCAAGTATGACTAATCGATAGACGAAATTTGAAGGAATTCTAAAGGGGGGGGGGGCGAAAAAGTCGTTTTTGCATCAAGCTCTTTGCAGTTTTAGTCAGATATTTTATGTCCGATCTCTCTAATTGACGCAATCCACTGTGCGTTGAGTCTTACCAAATCAAGGTTGGCCCATAAAACCTCGATATAGCGGTCTCGATCCGGTCGTCGATGCTCATCCTCCAATCCCAAGACATGCCCCAACTCATGCAGGACCGTTCTTTTTTCAGGACTCCCACTGCTAACAGCTAAACTTTGCATGCCACCTTTTCTCCCGAGATGAGAATAAGAGGCTCTGCGAAAGAAAAATGCCGTTAATGCGAGACTGGTAAATAAACGTGGTTGAGTTTTCGCAAAATAAATGTAGAAAAGCACACTGGAAAAAAATATGGTAGATTTTACCATCCTCTGAGATAGTGATATAATCATGGTGAAGAACACCAGACTGTATGGTAGCATTTACCATATTATGGTAAACTTGAATGAATTAGATTTTTTATTTATCAAGGTGAAGAAATGGTGCTGGGTCCACACCATCTCGCGGTAAAAACAAAGCCAAGAAGTTCCAAAAATTTTTGCCAAGAATTTTTGGAGTTTTTGGAAATCCCCGCACCTTGCAACAGGCCCACCATGATTGGTGTGGTGAAAATTGTAGTGTTATTAATCACAATGCTAGTTTGTTTTAGTATAATTTTACCTGACCTAACCATACTTTAGTAGTATGTCACCATACTTCATAGAGGGGCCAAAATCAAGTGATGGTATAGTAATATCAGCACCCCAAGAATTTTCCAGCTGGACTGACACTGTATATGCAGCAGATCCAAGGTTTCATCCTCCAAACCTGCGACACGCTCAACTCATGCAATCGCACTTTCAACGAACACTATATTGGGTATATACTCTTTCTGAGAAGAAAGCTTGAATTGCTGCACGAAAACAATGCCATTAATAATGAAATATGTCCAATGTTTGATCGCCTTCTTGCTAGATGGGAGTAGCTCTCTTCCTTCCTTCTCCCACCCCCCTCCCTCCACAGATCTGGTCTGTAGCCAATGCAGCCACTGAAAATCCTTAAATAATGGAGTGATACAACTATTCACGCTTCTGTGTGTTGCCCAGTATCATTCCCAATTGAAGGCGTTTTTTCTTTCCTTGAATCGGGCTTTCCTCCTGACCTAACTCCTTATTTCTCCCTATCTTCCTCTTTTCACCTCTTTTTAATTGAATTCTATCTTGGTAATTTTTTAGGCGTCACACTTCTTGGCAAAATGAGGTTGCCTTCTCAGCATTATGTATTTTTCAGCACAGACACGTTATTCAGTGGAATACGGAAAAATCCGAACACGGTGTAATACACATATCGACGGTATAAGTCTGCAACCACGTCTCTCGGTTTGCGACGTCACAGACTTCCTCTCATATTTAATATTTCTAATGAAAAACCACTCAACGGCCATTTTTAAAAACTGCCGTGATTCTTCTTTCAGTGCCTAGAAAATTCTCCGGGAACTTCAAGGAATGATGACGATTTGTTCTCCTTTAAAAAAATAAAATAGGAGCGGAGATTTTCAAACACCGCAAACGAGATACATGGTTGCGAACCTACGCCGTCGATATATTTAGACGTCAAGCTCTTCCTTTGAATAGATTATTATTTCTATTGATCAAGTAATATCGTTTTGCCCGCGTATAAAAGGGATACATTAAAAAAAAATTCATCTTCATCCGAAAGGACAGTGGTCAAAATGTAAACTACGAAACTCATTCATTTATATTCTGAGGACAAGAACTAGCTCTGCGAGCATATCTTGGGCGGTTGCACAAGCATCTCTTTACGCCAAGATTTAAGTATTAGGTCTACTTATGTAAACCTAACATTTATGCATTTCAAAACTCTACGGAGTTCTTGGATTGGTCACTAATTCTAAAGGTGTAGTTCTTAGTGAAATCAAAGCAGTTCGTTGAACTTACCCTTCTAAAAATTCGTACTCGATGTACACGTAGTCTGGTTCCCCACTCCTCTCTTTAAATCGAACGCAGGTTTTTTGCATGATGTCACGCATAGCGTCTTGCACTACTAGATGACTTTGAATAACGGCGGTCCCTTACAAGTATGAAAAAAAGAAAAGAACTGCTAATAATCACTGATTAAAATATATCTCCACCATCTAAAGTTTTAAGACAAATAAACTTGTTCCAACGCGAAATAATGTGCTTTTCAACGTCGCTGTGATTTTTTCTCTATAGCGTTGATGGTTTGACGAGACAGTGAAAAGACGGGTTTGGGGCGCTAACATTATGTGCCGATTTTATTCACGCGTAGAAATGAAATAAAATGCAATCCCGACCAAACAGCTTGTCTGGTCTAGTCATGTTCATGCTCAAGGAATAGTAGACGAGAGATTGCTAAACTAGAGGGTACTGGATTAGGTTCCTCTTAAGAGGAAAGATTGGGGACACCCAGTGAATTTAAGGATTGATGACATTCAGAATGAAATTACAAGGACGCAATTTACCAGAAAACCTCTATCTAATTCGATAGACAAGAATGGCGATTAAGTGTTGCAGGCTTTCTCCTCGAGGATTATTCTCACCTTACGCCTGATAGTGTCACATTAAAGCTAAATGTCTCGCGATCAAAATTAGTTATCAAAATAACAAGATCAGGTGTTGTGATTGGCTTAGTCGATGATTTGAACTAATCACAGCACTTTACTTTAACATATTGATGGCATGGTTTGATTGTGTGACAAGGGCTTAAGGATTTCCGTAATATCCGATTAGATCCGAGTAAATATATACTCTTAACCGGTAAAATCGCACGAAAATCACGTTGAGCACATCAAAAAAGTCTGAAATCCACTCCTCAGCGAATAATCGTCGTAATTTATAACACGCTTTCTCAAGTTTCCCGCGTTTCCGGGCAGTTTTTCTTAACCACCGCCGACCGAGTTTACCCAGGCAGAGAAGTTAGAGAAACTGACTCGAGTAAGCAAAAAAATTACACTAACGTTTTCTACTGCATGATTACAATGGTTCTCAGACGTTTTTCATTTTCTTTCTTTTACTTTGCAAAAACAAAAGCTTTGAATCACTTGAAATCTCACGATAGGAGAGTTTATAACAGTTCGCGGGATTGTTTGTTAATTTAGATTAGGTCTCTCTCCGGGCAAACCTAACTGCCGACCACCAAGAACAAATACCCGCGTATGTAGTAACTTTAAAGGAGCGTGTTACAGACGGACGTATTTCTACCAAACGGAACTATGTTCATTATGACGTGAGCCCTGTTATGCACATATTCTTATGGGTCATCATGTCTTGCTCCACATAGCTCCGTTTGATAAAAATACGTGCAAACTACGCAGATTGCTCGCTATAAATAGCGAATTTCAGACTTTTGTCATGTGCCTATCGTAATTTTCGAGCGAATTTACCTTATTAAAGTGTATTTACTTGGCTGTGCAGCTATCTCTTGCCTGCAACAGAGACTTATTAGTCTGCATGCTATATAGCACAGGAAGCACTAATCTACTTTGCTAACCAAAAACGCCGTATGAACCTCCAGGCATTCTCAAATTTCCATTGATAAAACTCGAATTTCCTCGTAAACTAATGAATATATTCATTCCAAATTTTCAGATAATTTTGCTCGCAATTTCACCTAATGTTCCTGAAAATTTCAAGGAAAAATATTCATTACTTTCCTCGAAAATGAACATTTTATCGAAGGAAATTTGGGAACTGTCGAATGTTCATACGGCGTTCTTCCTCAGTACGGCAGTTGCCTACAGCCTCCATATCAACTCGCTCTTACACTTTTACACACCCTCATCCCCCTCCCGCCCTCACCCACCCACACTTGCACAAAAAAACCATTAAACGTTTACTTACACATGAAATCCGCTATTTGGAAAGGGACAACTGCTCCTCCCCACAATTGCTTCTTGTTATTCAGCATGTATTTCTTCCGCCGTAACTTAGGAATAGATAAGAAAGGAAAATTTCAAATTCGAGAATAATCAGATCAATTTAATACTCTTCGTTTTTCAGAGAAATCCTGCTATTTTAAAAATTTCCAGAAGCGTTAATATCAGATATACATAACGGACGAATTGTTTTTGTACTTAAAAAACTTCGCTTTTCGCAATATTCTTGGGTCTTCCTTCGTGCATGGTCCCATAATAAAATCTACCAAACATCGAGGAGATTAACAGAAATGCACAATAGTGACCGAAAAATATTTCGGTCTCTGCCGATCGTTGCTGAGAAATCATTTGTTGAATGTTTAAACATTCAAAGATGATATTTACAGCCTTTTTCTCTTATTTTTGGGCATATTTAATATTGAATCAATTAAGCTATCTGTTTGAGGAGACTAATACGTCCTGTATATATTACTCTTTTCTATAGCGAGTTACTTCTTAAATCAAAATTTCACATCTTCTCATAGCTTGAGACATACAATATTTTCATTTTTATTGGGATTTCAATCACTAGGATAGTAGAGAACTTTAGATGCTCTAATTCTAAATTACTTTTATTCTTACTACAAATACGTATGCTTATATTGTATCAATAAACATGTTTGAATCAAGTATTATATATTACCTACCAGAAGTTTTCCCGCAATGTCACTGCATTAGCTTCAACCTAACGGGGAGCAGTGGGGAGTATGAAAAATTAACATTGTATTCGAGAAACATATGATAAATACATTTTGCGCTACGCTTTGCTTCTGATCCGATACACATTACATTTTTCCAATCCATTGAGAAACATCTTTTACCTAATTTTCGCCCTCAATTTCTCCGCATATGTAGAAAACCATGCAAAGATCATAAATTGTGTATCCATTTGAAAAAAAAAAAAAAAAAAAAAAAAAAAAAAAAAAAAAAAAAAAAACGTGTAGTGATATAGTCACCATCCGGTCAAATATCACATGCATCATGCGAATTTCCAAATTTCCGCCGTAATTTTATTTTTTTTACAGAAAAATTTTCGGTAGAATCCGTTTGAAAATTTCACTGAATTTTATCGACAGCACAAAGATAATTCAGTAAAATTGTCGGACAGCCTTGTTGAACGATTTCTCTATGAAAGAATAAGACGGCGGCGGACATTTTTAAACGTCGCATGGCACTTGCGATACTTGGGCCAGACGTTGACGAGGATGTTTCGCGATAAACTTTGACAGAAATGGATTGTTCCTGCTCTCCGTGTTTAGAAATTAATTGTCTTCGTTAACTGCTATCCTCCTCTCTTTTAAAGAAAGGTAAGTGCACACTACTACAAGAATCATCATTACCGTTGGATCTGCACTATTGCGCACCGCCGCAAACTCGTCTTCAACTTGTAGCACTTCTCTGTTCGGCAGAATTTCAGGACGCTCACCGACCTCAGCCGCAATGGCCAAGAGGACCATCCCCATGAAAACCAACATCGAACTACGGATCAACAAATAGGGCAGAGGACTGACTCTACTGTGTTGAAATAGGCGGTCTTATTTGGGTTCAGAGTCCTTTTCCCAATTTCACTGCGACACAAATAACTGTTGAGCAACGTTCTGCGAAATTCAAAGGCAGATAATCGGCCTGGAGTCTGGAGTGCTTCGAATTTTTTTTTTTTATTTTCTATTTTCTGCGAGACATTGACGCACTCTTCTTTTGCGCCCGCATGTCAATGATCATCTTTTGTTGTGTACCAAAATTTCGCTGTCGTGGTGTTGAGATTTGTGTCTATCTGTCTGTCTATATATAGAGAAATAAACTTATTGTTAAAAGCATCTAGCGAAAAAAAAAAAAAACTTAATTTATTTTCAATATTTAATTTACTTTGACTTTGTTTAATCTTATTTAACGATATTTAATTTAATTTACCTTTATTTAATTTAATTTAACTTTATTTAATTTAATTTAACTTATTAATGATGAAGATTCATTTCTTCACGCATTCCGGAGAGTTCAAATAGTTGTATCATTGCGCCTCAGGAATGCGAAGGAAGATCAGAATTGAAACCGCCTTCATGCACGCTGGCCTTGCCGATTTCCTTTGACATTTTTGCAGTCGTGAATGCATAGCTGAAGTGCGCTCTAGTTAGAATTGTATTTAGCAAATGGGTGGTTTTTATACGAGGATTGAAAATAAACAAGTGTTACGGAATAAAACAAAAGAATATGAACTATGCAAAACGATATTCCGGGTATCGGAACTTGGCTGTTTTGAAAACGCCTTCAAATGCGGCGTGATACCTTACGCATTCCGGAGAGTTCAAATAGTTGTATCATTGCGCCTTAGAAATGCGACGGAAGATAACAATTGAAACCGCCTTCATGCACGCTTGCCTTGTCGATTTCCTTTGACATTTTTGCAGTCGTGAAAGCATAGCTGAAGTGATGAATTGCGTATCGGTGGGTTGGCGCTAGAAACTAATTTAATAGTTGTTTGGAAAGCTGATGGCTAGTCTCGATCCTGACATTAAATACATCTTTGTCGGCACTTTGAATATTTTGCACATTGGGAGAAATGTAAACGAGTAGTGAACTCCAACACGATGTGTTGAAAAGACGCGTCATTGACTCGAATATAGTTTTCATTTACAGTCATTTTAATATAGGTGAGCGACCAACTACGAACTTCGACGAGACCGTGTAATTTAAACTTAGAAAGTTCTTCGAACGAGTGTAAGTTTTTTAATCTGCCTCAAGCGAAAGCTTATTAGCCTTTTAAAAAACGGTGTCTTTTGAGTAATTTCAGCCAAAAGAAGAAAAAAAATTGTCGAGCTCCTGGATAATATAGTCGAGTTAAATGTAGTTTGGGGCTATGACATCCAAGTCGCCGGTTTGAAATCCCGTTATATTATTGAGAAGAAATGGACTCGATATAAATGCAGTATTTATGTCTTGATTTTACTATTTTCAGCATCTCTCCATGCAAAGAAGTTTAGCCATGTCTGATTCTACATTCATTCGTGAATTGTAAATTAAAAATTGACATACCGAAAATCCTCCAATCTGCCGTAAAAAATTGCAGAAACTCGATGTATCAAGTCGATATACCTACC